AATACAGAAATTTCAAATCAAATCAAATTCAAATTGACAAAATATTTGATTCGATTTGACTTTGAGGAACCCTAGTTTCAACAGTAACAAAATTTGTTTTTTTAATAATTTTTCTGGTAATTTACTAGGATCAATTTTTACCATTTTCAGACTGGTTTTAACAAGAAGGCTACTAGGAAGTTCTTCTTCAACTTCTTTACTATCTTTTTTATTGTCATTTAAAGATTGAAGAGTTGGCGTCAATAGTAATAGAAGTTTTTTTTTAAAATTTTAATCACAAGATTTCCCTACTAACATTATCCATCTTCCAATATCAGCCAGAGCATTGCTTGTATTATCTTGGTGTTTTCCCAAGTTCAGTACATGGTATGAAAACTTTACCTTTCCCAGTTGTTTATACAAATATCCACCCTGCTTTTGAAAACATTCTGTGTATATATAACATACACGATATTCTGATGATGATTTATGTGCAACAAATCTCTCAGTAAATGCTGGACATTTAAAAACACTAATGCAAGGTATTTGAACATTGCTTTTATTAATTTTAAATGAATACTCTTTATAGCAACCTCCACGACTAAAAAAATATTTTTTTTTTGGCAGAAAATACAAAAATAGAAATGGGAATTGCTTTCTTTAATAAGATTTTGTTGTTTTACACCACTACTATGTAGTTTATTCTGATCTAAGGTCATATGTGAAAAGCATACCCCAAGTTGGTGAAAGCTATACTATTGGCTGTATCGGCATCTATTTCCCAGGTTCCTGTCAATTGCTGTAATCATCGTAATTTTATTTTGCTATTACAGCATTTTATCTCACTATCAATAATACCAATAATAACGCATGGTGTTAAACTAAAACCTTGGATGAGAGCATGTTCAGGTTCAACATTTATATCATTATTATCATTATCGTCATTGATACTTTCATCATCATCATCGATATTTTTATTATCTTTACTAATATTTTCATCACTATCTTTATAATTATCATTTTCTTCAGAGTCATCATTGTCATAATCATTTTTATTATCATCAAGTAGGAGCTGAGCATTTTCAAGAGCATTTTCAAGAGTGTCGTTAACTTCATTAGCAATGAAATTATCCTGGCTGCTTTTTTCAGAAAAACTGCATTCAAAGTCACTATAAATAGATTCAGAATCGCACATTTTGCCTATAGTATTTTTGTCATGAACAACACTACCAGTTAGATTGAATTTATTTGGTAATGGATGAGAATTGGACAATTATAACTATTATAGATCACGAAGAATATTTATTTTGAGGATTGGAGGATAGATGACTAAATATAATAAACTCTGACAACCCCAAAAGGTATAAACGATTTTATTATTATTAATTATGTTTATTACTTTATGTATTAGAACACTTGAGTACTTTAT